AAAACACAAATGTAAGAACATGCCATGCCTCCTTGGCAGCACCAAGTCTTATGTATGCTTCCATGGTTTAAGCCAAAACTCTACGTGTCCTTATTGAAAGAAAAAAACAACTTGAATAATATACAAATGTCTGCAAACCTGGATCATGCAGACGTGGAGGCAAAACTATCTCGTGCCTCCCACACAATCGGATAATATGGTTTCAAGTGGATGCCATTGATCTTGCGCAGATGCAACTCCCCATTCAAAGATTTTAACCAATAAGCACCTCCTTTAAGAACTTTATGAATTTGGAATGGTCCTTCCCAATTAGGGGACCACTTACCATATCTGGGATCCTTCTTGCCAAGCGGCAGCACAGCCTTCCAAACCAACCTTCCTTCGGCTAAATTATTTTGCTTGACCGTTTTGTTGTAAGCTCGTGCCACTTTAAGCTCCTGGGCCTTCATCGCATCCAATGCTGTCAGCCTTGCTTCCTCAAGGTCTTCCAACTCCATGATCATGGCCTCATTGTATTCCCTAGAATTCAAGCCATTTTGAATTGCAATCCGCAGAGACCTTGTCGTTAATTCCATAGGCAGGACAGCATCATGACCATAAGTAAGTGAGAATGGGGTCACCTTAGTTGAGCTCCGTTGTGAGGTTCTGTATGCCTAGAGAGTATCTGAAAGAAGCTCATGCCATCTCCTGGGATTATCATCAACCATTTTCTCCAGGATGTTGATGATAATCTTATTGGATGCCTCTGCTTGACCATTTGCTTGTGCATAATGCGGAGTTGAATTAAGCAAATGAAATCCCATGTTTTTTGCAAAGGCCTCTACTTGAGATCCAACAAAAGCAGTACCTTGATCAGAAGTGATAGTTTTCTAAAACCAAACCTGTGGATCAGATCCTCTTTTATGAACTTGATGACATCTCCTTGCTCAACCTTCTTCATAGGCCTTGCCTCCACCCACTTAGTAAAGTAGTCTGTAGCAACTATTATGAAAGAATGGCCTTTAGAAGAAGGTGGATAGATTTTCCCAATCAAATCAATTGCCCAGCCACGAAAAGGCCATGGCTTGACAATAGGATAAAACTCAGAAGCTGGCACTCGCTGCAAAGGACCATGCAGTTGACAAGCTCTGCAGCCCTTCACATAATTGATGCAATCCTTAAGAATAGATGGCCAAAAGAAACCATGCCTTCGAATTAGCCACCTCATCTTAATCCCTGCCTGATGAGCACCGCAAATACCATTATGAACATCTGACATCATATGGTAACTTTCATCAAGACCGAGGCAGCGCAATAATAATTCATCCTGCCCCCTACGATACAGAACATCCCCGAGTAGCACATAGTTTAAAGCTTGCATCCTTGTTCTCCTTGATGTTTTAGAACTGGGATTCCTCAAATGTTCTATTATTGGATGCCTCCAGTCTGTAGGTGTGACATCTAGTGAGCATGCTTCCACCATTATTCCTCTTTGATGAATTGAAGGCAGCATACGTTTTTCGATGACGATGACTTTCTCCAAGATGCCTTCAGGCATTTTTACACCTGAAGCAATCTGCCCAAGTTCATTTGCTTCAATATTCATGTTGCGAGGAATATGCTTCAGGGAGACATCATCAAATTCCTCGAGTAATTGGATGGCAGTGGCAAAATATGGAGACAAAACCACACTTGTGCACTTGTATTCGCCACTCAATTGCTTGAGAACTAATTGAGAATCACCCATAATTTCAACCGATGGCACCTTCAACTCTACCAACAACTCAAGGCCAATTACCAAAGCTTCATATTCTGCTTGGTTATTGGTGCATTCAAAATCCAATTGGAAACACCATTGGGTTTTTATGCCATCTGGAGAAACAATAATAATCCCAGCCCCAGAGGCTTGATCAGTGCTAGACCCATCAAAAATAAGCCTCCAAGGAACCAAGTCAATCGAAAAGAGATTGATTCCCTTGTCTTCATCAGCATTAACATCTAAACAAGGATGATCTGCTAAAAAGTCTGCTAAAGCTTGTCCTTTGACGGCCTTTTGAGGCAAATATCTCAGATTAAATTCAGTAAGTGTAAGAATCCACTTACCAATGCGGCCTCTTAAGAGTGGCCGCGACAGCATGTATTTTATGACATCAGTTTTTGAAACAACAAACACCTCCGAATACAATAAATAGTGCCTCAATTTTATTGCTGCAAAGAACAAAGCCAAACACAATTTCTCAACCGAA